AGAATAAAAAAAATATATATATATATATATATTTTTTTTTTTCCTAAGAAAGTAATTTTACATTAAAAGAAAATACATATTATAATATATGATTAGCATGATAAAATCAACATCTGAGTATGTTGTTTGGAGTCATAAAAAAGAATTCTGAGAAATACTCTAAGAAGCATAAAATAATCTTCAGTGTTTTTTTTTAAACAAAGTTCATTGTAAAAAAAATTAATGAACAGCACTTGCCAGCTGGCTTCAATGCATCATTAAATATTTACATGCAATTATTTCAATATGTGAAAGTTATAATATGATCATAAATGCATGACACAGAAAAATATTCAGGAAAGGAATATTGAACATTACATCTGAATTTCATATTTTGAAAATCTAAAAAAAAAAAAAAAACTTCTGTTTGATATTATAATCTAAGCCTGTGACATGCAAGCTATGAATCACAATAGAAATTTTGTCACTCATGAAAAAATTTTTTAAAAATACATGATTTAAAAAAAAACAAGAACCAAGTTTCATACTATGCTATGACTAGAAATTTGGTACAAACCCAAAACATTTTAATTGTTTTTTTTTTTAGTTCTAATTATCTTAGAAAGAAGGATTTAACAATAAAGAAGTTTGTGGATTTAAATGAAGCTTAAAGAATGATTTATCTAGTATGTAGTAACAATTATATTATATCTTAAATTCATAAAAAGTAGTGGTATTTTTATTTAAGCATCCATTCAATTAATATAGGCAAAAATCTAAAAATGTAATACTTAAACTTGTACAAATACTGTATTGATAGTATTACAACAAAAATAAATGATATTTAATGAAATAATCAGATAATTTTAAAGTGCTAAACTAAATTTAATTATTAATTCATAAATTTATATTTTATGAATTTTTATTTAAAAAATTCTAACAAATGACAGTCAAAATTATTTCTAAATGTAAGTAAAATGTCACTAGATTTATTGAGTTATAATTCTGCTAATTTCATAAATTCCTTTGTGAAATCTACAGAATTGTAGTTCAATATGGGACTATTTGGGTTATACTAACATTCTAAAATGAAAAAATCTAATTCACATTTATTCAATTTATAGTAGTGATATTCCAGTTTAAAGATGACAGAAGGAACTGATTATTACCAATACAAAAAAGTCTAATAGTAGACAAATAATATTTTTAATAAATAATACAAAAATAGACTATGTAAGATGATAATTAAAAACTTGATTTTAATTTTAAAATGTCAATAATCATTTTATTACAATTACACAGTGCAAAACTGTTGTTTTATTGTTAAAATATAAAATATAAGATAAATGGTAAAAATAGATATCACATCTTAAAATCTCTAATAAATAAAAATTTTTACAGCAATGTACTTTGGCTGTATATAAAATATAAAAACTAAGAAGCAAAGCCAATAGTCTAGTTTGTAACATTAGTTATTTTATAGACTGACAGCAGAATAAGCTTACATCACTTAAGGATATAAAATATTTCATTTTAAAAGTATCCATTTGGAAACTTTTATATTAAACATCTATTGACAAAATTTAACTATCATGGAAAAAACATTTAAAAGGTAAAGAGGACTATTTTATTTTGAAGTTTCATATATTACTTTCAATAAAAAAAAACTTGGTTAATCATTTTATTGTTATTTAAGAAACAAATATCAAATGATAGGATTTTAAAGTTTGCAGGTATCAATATAAAATTAGATTTAAAATGTAATATTAAATACTTTTGTTTGTGTACATTGTACCAGATTAATTATTTTTCTATGTGAACAAAATATTGAAAAATTGATTACTCCATTTTGGCATGTTCTAAAATAAGTGTGTCATCGATTCTGCCATTTTTATTACAATAATTATTCTATCATGTTAAATTTGAATTTCTCATTTAAAATTGTTGAAATAAAATGTATATATAAAAATGTATACTGTATTACTAATTCAAAATATTTTTTTTTTAAATATCAAAATTCTGAAATAACTTATTATTTAAAACTACAAATGTAACATATTAAATTCTGCATTTATTCTAAAATAAAGTGGCTTCCCATTTAATGCAATTACAGAGGAAACCATTACATTTGAAATTTAAAATTTACTGGAATTTGATCTTCCTTCTTCAAATTCTGCTGATAATTTATTGCTCCTATTTGGAATAAATTAATTTCAGTAAATAATTACCAGTATGAGTTTTTTTCTGAATAGTTATTAACAGTTAAATTATAAAAAGAGAAACATTTTTAAACTCATAATTTATATATCTAATTTGTTAAATATCTGATTCTGAAGATTAGAAACTATAAGTGGTATTTTATTTCATTTTCTTCTTCATTTTCAGCTGTTTTTCAACAAATGGAGAGACTTATAAAATGCAGAACATTATGTCAATGGAACAATTTGTTAAAATAATTATTTCAAGCATCAACAGTTAATAATATTAATACTGATTCCGATTCTATGAGTTGGCTTTAAGACAATCTTTCAAGCTATATTATTAAGAAAGTTAAAATGGAAAAAGGAAAGAAAATACTTATGTCAAGTTGAAATATATACAGGGTAATTCAGAACTCACGAGACGAACTTTAAGGGATGGTAAAGCACGACAAAAAACACTTTTTGTATAGTTAAAGTATAGGTGCAAGTGACACATTGAGGCACAAACACACAAAATAACACATGAAAGGAAACAAATTATTTACTTACAGCATCATTGACAAGTGCATCTTTACAGCAATGTTTACAATTGCTCAAAATTGCATCCACCATCAGTGCTTGGCAGCACTGATGGTGTTGTCTTATGCACGTGGTGAGAGATGGTTTTTCACAAAAAGACAGGAATTAAAACAAATAAAACGTGCTTTAATTTTTCTTGTAGTAACTAATACAAGAAAGGTTCGTACGGATTCCGACCTCCTGATTCCAAAATTC